TCGTTGATTGAAAGTCATCAGGGATGTCGCGGCCGGAACCGGAAAGGGCATACGAGCACCCTACCGGTGCGAAAAAAAAGGAGGGCGTCGATGGAGGAAGTGCAAAAGGACCGGACCAACAGCCGGTGTATATCGCGCACCTGTTGCCCCCCACAGGATCAGGATTTACATTTTAATAGACAGTAGAACCACCGCAAGCGACGAGAGAGTTCAGGGTTCTCGACTGGTCTTCGAGTCATTAGGAAAATGGATCCCCCCCTTTTCACCGTCGTCGTGGGACGAACGAATGGGTGGATGGAGTGGGATGGTCGATGACCCGAGGTATGGCGCCGGGCATCCAGGGAACGGTCAATCAACGAAATTAAAGAAAAACGTCGGCCTAATTGGAAAAGTTTTTCACTGGGAAAACAGGGACCAGCGCGCTGTTGGCGGTGGGTGGGTATTGCACGGTGTTCAAACTGGAACGCTGGAGGAATTACATTTAAATTAGATTACCGGCCCTACCACCCCTCCCACCCACCCCCCGTAAATATTGGAGTTGTACACGGTTGGACATCGCGCGGACCGGTATCGTATTACGAAATATGAATAAATATCATTTCTCGACGGGCTTATTGCACGACCGTCGGCGTGCACGGAACGCGCGCCCTTTGTTTCCGGTTAATTTCGTTGATTCCCATCCACTTGTTACGCGTTACTCGCGGCGGTTGTTCGCAGCTACGAAGGATACGCGGGGCTGGCGCGCCCGTGCATCTGGGAATTTAATTAGCTTAATTAAACTCGGATTCTTGCCGAGCCCTGCGCATTATCCGCATAACCCAGCACCGGGACCGCTTGACCTACAATCACGCCCGGAAGAATGCGGTTGGGTTCGAACTTACGGTGCACGACAGAACAAAATTTACTGATATGATAAATTCTCGATGAGTGTTCGGAGGTTCCACGGCACTGATACGAAGAAGTCCCCTTTTCTTTTTTTTTTTTTCGAGGAGAAATCTTCAAAAAGCGTACCGCCTTTGCTGGGAGTATTGGGAGTATTGAGAGGTTTGTGTCTTAGTCCAGATTGCACATGACACCTTGAAGACTATTTTTGGTCCGAGGTGCCTTTAAGCTATCTTCAAGACGTCATGTGCTATCTGGGAGGAGATATGAATCAGTTGGTATATTTCTATCACAGTAATTCGTGGTATCACATTACTAAACTTTGTTCCACATAAGAATAACCTCGTTTCGTGCATGGAACAGGATCTATGACTATTCATTGGTAGAAGATCGGCAGAGATAGCGAGCATCAAGCAATCGCACGCGTCCGAATCGGTCGGCAGTAGGGGGGCTGCGCAGGTCGGTCGAAAACTCGTCCGAGCATGAGGTTATTCTTACATGAACGGGGTTTAGCATCATTGATTAGGGAAAAGCGATTAAATCACGTAAAGAAAAACGGTCATCGAGGTGGATAAAACACGCTCGACCCACGTTTCGATCGGGACCATCGAACGCCTGGGTTGTGGAAAACTGCGAATGGAATTCAAGGAGGAGCCCGTTCCCGATAACGCGTGTGCGAAGGGGATGAAACGGTGTTTGTCGGAGTTTACGCCGCATCGTTTCGCGCTCGCTTTAACTTCGCCGATTGAATCATGAGTGAGGGGTGGCTGGTGGCCCTTTTCTTCGCGACGAGGACCCTCTACCCGGAGGGTGTTGCTTCGGTTTTGCGATCGTGGAAGAGAGGGCCAAATGGAATGGGATTCGGGTGTCTGTCGTTCGTGGAACGCACGTATAGGCCAGACAATTTCGCGTCCACTCGCCGTTCAATGCAATATAGGTTAAAGGGGGAACGGATGGAAGTGGAAAATGGTAGGATAGAAGGCATCGATGAAAGACACGATCCCCTCCGACACTCTAGAATTTCATTGATTTTCTAGCCACCGATTACATCTTTCCACGATTGCATTTTTAACCGTAACCATTAGTCATTTTAATTTCGAGTAGGATCGTCAGAGGAGAATCCAGCTACCGTCGACGGTGCTAGAGTTTTCTTTTTTTTCTCGAGTTTCAACGAAAATTTTCGAGAGCATTGACATTTTTTACGGGGGATAGAACGGTCGGAATTCGCGAACGAACCGGATGAAATTCGTGGAAAAGTGCTCGCGATACGAACAGGAACACGCACTGTTTCATCTTCCGTGGTATTTTCCGCGGCCCATTTTTCTCGATACACAGGGTGTTTGATTACCGGTGTCGGAAACGTCAAAGAACGATTCTATATGTGTCAAAGTGAAATGAAAAATCAAGAAGGACAAAATTCCGTTGGTGGCTTCGGTTTAGTTATTAATGGTTAGAAATTCGACCCCTGAAGAACACACACGTTTTCTTCACGACCAAAAAGGTAATGTGTAATACCTGCATTCGTAGCCTGGACTGTTTCCTCGCGATACTTCATAAGAAAGCATGAACGAATCGTTGCACGATATTGAAGCTAGTTACTTCGTCAAATCCACAACAAAGACTACTTCACACATACACACAGAATAAACACTAAATAATCCAACTCGAAATAAATTAAAACTCACCGTACTGCATTTTTTTCGAGAAAATACTTTGCACTGACACATTTACGTAACATCATCGCGCGCGTGGCAATATACAATTTCACTATACTAAATTAAATTAATATTGCAAAATAAAATTATTCGAGGGTTACTTCGCGTCGCCTAGATGTGTTCGCGTCGACGACGGTCACTGAACTAAGGAAACATTGCCCGAATTCTCCACGCGAAGGACATACAGGTAATAAAATACCGTTTACTAGCAGGAACAACACCTTAAGGACAAGCGAAGACGAGGTGTGGCCGAACGACCGAAAACAGCGGAGGGCGCTTCTGACCGCAATTATCAAGGACGTTAACAACTTGAAGGCAAAACCTCGTGCACAATTTCGTGATTTTCCTTTTACTACGTTTTATTTTTTATACATGATAGAAATTCGGTCAGCCATATCACAAGGGTCATCCTAGCCTTTAAACAGTTAATAAGATTAAATAATTGTTTGACAAATAACTACTCATTTACGCAAAAGCATTATCTTATTATGAAAATTAGAATTTCCACGTTTAATCAATGACAAATGGCAAAGTATTATACCTTTCTTTTTATCTTTTATTCATTATTCAAAACTCTTTCCACTTCATCTAGATAATGAATTGTCCCATCTCAGCTATAGGAAGGAAATACTCTTACAATCAACTTAACGAAACGCATGGAATCACGTATTATTTTTTCACAACGACATCGGAATACTTTCAAAGTGTTTCCCTATAAAGCTTCATCTCCATCCACCTCGGTGAAGCTTACGTTATACGGTCTCGAGACGTTAACGGAATCCTAAAGAGCCGAGATCGCGTCGCGAGTCGACCAAAGAGGACGTCTGAGAAAAACGGGACCCGAGGTTCCCAGGGACGTTGAATTCCTCCTTCCTCCGCAGACATCGACCGCGAGAGTCGTTTTCGACAGTGGAATAATTTGTAAAAATATTATCGATGGCAACAGCTTTCGCGCGCGCCGCGAGCGTGTTCCCAGTGTCTACGAAGCCGTTAATGGGCTCCTGAAGTACCAACCACGGTAGAAATCGTTAAAGACACGCTAACGATATTTCTCGGTTACTTCGGCTGTCGACAAAAAATATCTCGCCGGGGCGAGCGATCGCTTAAAGACGCAATTTAATCGGGAACTTTACATTCCATTACGTCAAAGAAAAAGTGCCGTATCGTCGACGGTGTACAGTTTCTCTTCCAACCCCCCTTGCACCCTTCCACCTTTCGCTCCACGGTGAAAGCTTCCTGTCCAGAGAGTTCGTCCACCTGAAATTTTCCTTTCAAGGAAACCCCCTGCACGAACTTTCAAATAGCAACCAACCGTCCTTGCTAATAAATGTTGGAAAACGTTGTATATCGTTTGACACAAATATGGATTTTGTTTATTTTTTTCAGAATGATAGGTGTAGAAAAATTTAAAAATAATACAATTTGAAAACAATGAAGGAAATATTCAAGGGAAAGACTAATGGTTTCAACATGTTGACTGGCACAGTAGAAGATGCCGTACGTAGCTAGACACACTTTACTTTTTTTTCTAAGTCATAAATCTTCGAAAGTGTCTTATGCGTTTGGTTAAAAAGGCTGTTGGTCTTGTTTCAAAATATACTGCAATATTAGTTTTATGGAAAATTTGATAAGGTATTATAAATATTCCAGCTTCTTTGCAATGCTCGTATGACCTATATTTGGATCAGATGCGAGTAGAAGTGTTAAAGATGTGCGAATTGGTTCCATGATGGAGTATTACTCGCTGATATTAAACAATACATTACACGGCGATACACTGACACCAACACATCGAACGTGTTCTGATACTAGGTAATACGGATAACTACCATAATCCATAGTGAGGGACCGTACCCATGAAGGAGTACATTGTACTTGAATTTCAATTTGTGCAGTTGTGATAACCTGTCCCCTTTAATGACACATCTATAATTCAATAGAGCTTCAAACGTATAGCTTTTAGTGCGAACAGTGAATAATTGACTATTAGTCGTTACAACTATTCCATACATTACATACACATTACTTTTACACATATTGAAACATTATTTTACGACTTACACAATTACGAAGCGTATAATCTACTTCTGTCTGTTTTCATAGTTCCTCCAATTTATTATTCCAGTTCGACGTACACGTGTAGATCAGTATAAACTCATTGCTTGTGGCAGTTCGACGTCCATACATACTTTCCCGTTTCTTAAATATACATTTATAATATATTAAATATTTACATATATTAAATAGATTAATATATTAGTAGTGAAATGTGTTAAATCACTACTAAGCATTGAATTCATCTAAATTAACTACCGCCCGAGCCATTCCTTTAGTAAATAATTACCTGGTCAAGGGGTTAATACTCATACTTCCAGTCATTAAGGAACATTCTTCGTTAACAGTTCATTGACTTTATAAAATTTCTGACTTTCAATACCTTCGGTAACCAGAATCGTTAAACAATCCCCTCCTCGAAACGAGTAGCTGATTATCGCCCACGATAATAACAAGTATCGAGTCGTGCTAGTCGCGCTAAAGGCATCTCGACAACAGACGATCCGCCGATAGCGGTTCCTAGACGACGTCGACGACCAGGAGCACGAGAGTTGGGGCTTATCTCACGGCGGCTGAGAACTGCGTCGCGACACGCCGTTCACGCGGAATTTCCACCCGTTTATCGACTCTACCCCTGTATCTTTACGAGCCGTTATCGTTGATTCTCACGCCGCTTGGGCACGTCGACGGAAATCGTCAACCCGACCGAAAGCAGACACGGGTGGAGCACAGTAGGCCAAAAACAAACAGCGGAAGAATATACTCCTTGCGTTTAATCCATCGGGACTAGACGGCGATCCATTTCTGTTGGGGTTACCTTCACCTCAACAATCATTTCACCGACACGAGTTCATCGACATCGAATTTTGCCGACAATATTTACTCACCGACACGTTTAGACCACAGACAATCATTTCATCGACAATGTTCACTTTTTTTTTTAATTGATACCAAAAGAACTCTCGATGAGCTATGTGACTTCAGATGAGTTTACATAATCAGTCCAAGAACCTAAACCGAAATCATAACAATTTTCAAGCCCTGGTTAGAACCTCCAACTGCGAAGGCATCCAGAACCAACGGACGGAACTGCGTCGTCTCACCCATAGTTGTTACACTTCGCCTTTGTTGGGAGCGCAAAGACGCCAGGTTGACGCCAGTCGGCAACTCGGCCACCTGGGAAATACCTGGTAATTCCCGTAAAGCTTGTATTCCTTTCTTTCTCTCTCTCTCTCTTAGCATCTGGCTGAACCGTTCGCTCGCCTGATTCCTGTCCTCGTGAGTCTCCTTTTTTCCACGCGGTTGCCTGTCCCTTCCGTCATCCCGTCTTACCTCCGCAGGAACCACCTCCAGCACACCAAACACAAGCGAATGGGAGACGAGCATCCGCGAGAGAATTGGCCACAGCCCCGACTTCCGTGCTCTGGAGGCCTCTGTAATCAGGATTAGAAATGCGCCACGACCCCGGACACCCTGATGATTTAATTTACCCAGCCTGTTCGCTCTTTCCATTCGACTCCAGGAGTCGCGGCTGAGTTTCCTCGCAACGAGAACAGTCGTATAAAAAAAGTCCACCGCTGATTGGCTATTGTACGGAACTTTCCACATCGAAATCCAACGGAAGTAAAAATTGATCCCTCGGTAGGTCGCTGTCTCGGTGAATGGATCGGGAAGAAGTCCCGTGGACGATGGACGTAAAACTTTCAGGAACTGAGGGGGGGCACCCTCTACTTAATGATTCGCGAAGCAGCCAGCGAGCACACCTTCGCGACACTAGTTTCAGAAGAGTATCCGCGGACAAACAGAACGCGTGGATCCACGAGGATGGTTCAATAGTTCTACACCGGTGTTCGAAACTTCGATTGGAAGCACTGACCTTCTTTCCTTCCACCGATTCTCAGCTAGTCGAGGAAGAACCGAACCAGTGAGAATTTGAATAGCCCAGGTCGTCAATCTCTTTTCTTGGTCGACGCGCGTTGATCGATGTCCTTCGATTTTTTACGAACGAGTAGGAGATATTTGGCTAACCGATAGAGCACGTAGATGATCGTTAATAGGACGGTGAACAGGAAAGTGTAGACGTCGACGAGATTACGTGTGCACCAGGACATGTTCGCCCCTGCGGTCCTCACGTAGGGTACACCGTTCCCGCGACCAATGTACTCGGTCCACCATACCGCCGTTTCCAATGGGGTTGCGGGACGATCTCTGTACGCTTTTGATAACCTTCGAGCGTTCTCGCGGTACCTGTAACAGAATAATAATAATAATTTATTTTAACAGGTGTTGTAAACACTGATTCTTATATGCTTAGTGAATAGCAGTTACAACAACTATCTGTTTACACACACCACAGTACCAATGACCATATCCATGCTGAAAATCCCCCCGATCACTAAAGATCGCCCATACAGTCGGTTCAAAGTATTTTCTAACGTCACCACATACCATACAAACCTACGTTACGGTCGATTACGTTTAACTCAAGCGCAGCTCGACAAGTCCGCAGCTAGCAACGCTTCCCAGGGTGTTTCTTCCGGGTCGAGACGTTAACAACGTAACAGCCCGGTGCACAATACACCGAGGGAGACCGTCTGAATAATTCATGAAATACATGGAAATCGATCGACCATTCCATACCAACATCGAACGAAAAAAGATGCCGCGGCGATACTTTATAAACGTCTCTGAGAGCTTTTAACGGGCGCGCTCATATGTCACCGGCGAAACAACCCTTTCCATATCGACTATCAGGCACCAGAGGTTTGGATGGCGGCCGTCTCGCCCCAGGGAACATCGAGAACATTCTCCCCGTTCCCCTGGGATTGGTTGTTCGAAACGCGCCTTTAAGCGCCAAGTGCTCGAATCCTCGAAACGTACGTGTAGCGGAATAGTCCTGGGGAAATCGTTGTCGAACAGACAGAGATGGGACGGAAAAAAGGAAACGGGAGGCGAGAGGGTGAAAGAGGAAACACACACGATGCACGCCAGGCCGGAAAGGGAAGGGGTAGAGAGTAGAGTGGTAGCTAGCAACCAGCCCTGACGACCCGGAGCACACAATTTACCAATCGGTACTCTCCATTATTCGTGTTTACAGCTGGAGGCCGCGAATCAACCTGGTCGTCCCCCCTGTTATTTGCCTCGGTCAAATTCAGTCGCAGCCCTGCGGTGGTTTTGAATTAACCATCAATTTTAAGCGCGTTCGACGTCCCTTCCGTCGACGCTGCGCGGTGCCCGTACGCCGGGGAACACCGCGTCCGCGATGTTTCGAAAGGGTGTCGGACCGACTCCGCGTCGATGAAATTAATTTATTGTCGCGAGCGCCAGCAAGAAGGGATGGGACGCCACGCGGTCGAAAAAGACGGAAACGGAGAGACTCGACGTGGAAATTGTTCACGGGCTTTTGATTTTAGAGGGTTTGGTGTGATCGATCGTCGACGACTCGTGAATGATTGCCTCGACCATACACGAGGGTTGTGAGTCAATATACAAACGACAACTATTTGATAACTTCTGTCCTAAATGAGATACACAGGGTGTTGACCGTTAAGGGGTCTTCCCACTGTGACATCCTAAAAAATTGTCATTTTTTCTGTCTCCACTGAACGCTGGATGGATACCCAGCTTAAGAAGGTTAAATCGATCCTCTCGTTGTTAATCTCTGATGAGCGTTGGTTCGTTGTTTCAAGCACTTAGCGTTAAAAATCGTGAGTTTCCATCCTTCCCCAGTTTCATCCCACCGATTCCGACGTGACAATCGTTCCAGAACAATTCCTTGCCCGCTCGGCACGGTGGCTCGGTTAGTCCCATGGGCGCCATAGCGTTCACGGGGACATCGTTCTTTCTCCACCGCAATTAAGAATCCCCTAACCGAATAATTCTACGCGTGGGACGCCGCGGATGAGTTGCGCGTGCTCGAGTTTCCGCCCCCTACCCCACCGGAAGTCGTGGACTCGCGGAGGAACGAAACGGAGGAGGCCGGCTCCGTGTGGTGGTGGTCCCTCGCGATAACGTTACAAGTCGGGAAGTAAGTTCGTAACGCGCGTCGGTGCGGCCCGGGACCGAGCGACAACGATCCGAGATATCGCGGGAATTATGATCCCCCGGAGATACGAGGCGGCCTCTGAAATGGGGATAGAAATGGTTCCTCGCCTAACTTTCGCTACATCTGCCTGCAGACTTTCCGGGGCTAAATAATTTCGCCCGGTTCCCGATAACGCCACCCATCCACCGCCCCCTCTGGCAACCCCTCGAACTATTTCCTATTCGCAGAAGGAAAGAATCCGTGGGTGGATATCCACGAGCGACTCCGGAGGATACGATCTTTCGAAAGTTTACCACCTTGTTAACTCGCCCTTTTAGGGAGTGTCCATGGAGTATCGATCGATTATTTGGGAGGTCGGCTGAAAATTGTATGGGTCTCGATCACGTACCGGATAAGGTGGTAATGCTTATTGGGTAATTAACCTTATAGTTAGGAATGTCCTATGTAACAAATTATCGTTTCTCAAGATATTTCAGCACATGTTTTGCAATTCGCGAATAACCCCGCCATTTCGTAACATTTTTACTTTCTAAAAATTTGAGAATACAGCTGGAAGCTACATTTATATACTTAAACTCGTAATTATCATGAAGAAACTTAAAAAGATTAAGTCTAGCAATTCAGACCCAGCGATTTGGAAGACAACTGTACATACAATCCCGAAAAACATCGCCAGAGTCACAGAATTCAATGAAGTACCATAGTACCATAAATCTAGAGGACTTTATGGACACCTTGTATGTTTCTGGCATACTTTACGAGATCGTTAATTTCCATAACACGGAAATTCAACGTTATCACATTAGTTACGATTCTACTCACATTCGTGAGTGAGCGAAGACGGGAAATCAATTCCATCTCACAGATCCCACAATTCGAAAATATATCCAACAAAAGGTCAACGGAATATCTCCATCGAAACATAACACCCCCGATGTAATTGCGAAAAAGTTAATTAAGCAGTCGAGAAGCATAACGAACGATCCCGACGAAATCGTCGCGCGGTTATGAAATATTCCCACGAAAGAAATCCCACCGCGGCGTAGGTGGAGAACGTTTCACGATCGGGGGCGTGTTGAGTGGAGAAAGGGGCATATAATAAATGAGACTTCCGGTTATCGGGATCTCGCCACGGTCCTTTGCCGCTTGCAAATCGCCCTGGAAACGAGTCACGAATATTCCGGGCCACGGAACCGACGCCGCTGAATATGCAGGTACATGCAATTAAAATATTCGCCGACGCCACGCGGCACCCAGTAAGGGGGAGGGGGGGAGGGAGAAGTAATTTTTCAAAAAGTTAGTTCGCTGGTCTCGTCATGCGTTATATTGGCCGGCCGAAGTCGGCGAAATTCGAGGCGTGTTGGTCCGCGCGGAAAGTAATCTTCGTCCCTCCCCCCCCACGCCCCTCCCCCGTGCTCGTAATTCCTTCGAAGTTACTTTACGATTTCCTCGGGACTGGGCTCGAGCTCGTTGTCGCCCTGGCCGCCAACCCCGACGCGTTACCAACTTACTTTCCCGACTTGTAACGTTATCACGGCGAGGCCGACGAAGAGGAAGCCTCCTCTCCCCGTCTCTCCCAATTAGCCGTGGTAACCGAACTCGAGCACTCGACACACCCCCTTTCTGAACCACTCCCCCTTGCCGTCTCCGTCTTCCGTCGGCGCATTATTCAGGATTCTGCCGGCAGTCGTCTTCTAAATTATAAACCATAAATTTCGGATCGCGTTACAAATAGCGTCGCAATTACGGGCCCGAACGAGGCCCCTCCCATTCGCCCGCGGAACCAGATACACGCCGCCCATGTCTCGGCGGGGAACTCGGGGAGCGATCGAACGGAGAATATAGTTCCCTTTGAAATTTCGCATTTTCTTGTGATCCTGAATTCATTAACCGTCACGGGAGTAGTATGGATGGTGTTATTCAGCTTTGAGGGGAAGGGGGAGGGGCAACGTGATACAGCTGTAACACGACCGCGAAACGCTTAACAAACAGCCGTGCGAAACGACCGGTCGCGCGTTCCGCGACCCCACGCTAATTGGCCCAGAAGCAGAAAAGTCCGACAAGGGAGGGGGGAGGTGGGAGGGTATGTTTCATTTGCACCTGACACAAACAACGTTTAAATCCTCAATTACAGTCGCTCGCGCGCGCGTCACGCGGACAGGATATCCGTTTGACGTACGTGCCCGTTAATTTTGGAACGTGGTTCCTGAGGTCCTTAAATTGTTTTGTTTAAACGACACAAGGTCTCGTTCCTATTCTCCGATCCGTCGGTTTAAAATTGCGTTTCGGTGTTGAACGTATTTTATTGCTTAAACGTTGTCGCGTGATTTTGAATGTACTGTAAAATTGTAAGTGATGATGGTTTATACTGTATGATGGTTTTAGAGAATTTTGAAATTAGGCAAATATTAGTTTCATTAACGAACGAATATGGCGTACAGAGCGCACTTTGTAATTATACTGAATGTTCTTATTGATTAATTAGAATTAATTGCTGTTACTGTATACATATTGTGTTAATATGTGGAGCTCGCCAATGGCTTTCATCAGAACGGACAGTTTGCTGATAGCCTTTGAAGCACGAAACGCGCCAACAGTTTGATCGAAACAGATCGGTCGTTATAGAATTTCCGCATAGCTAGAAACCCTCTTTACAGTAAAATGGGAACAGTGCAGCCCAAAATTTGTCACTGCAATTCTGCAACGTTCTCTGTCCTAATGGATCCTAACCGAATTTATTGCATTTAACATTTTGGTATAAACATTAATTTACAGTTTTGGCTGGAAAAGAGATGTGTGACATATCCATAATGCGTCGATCGAAGTGTTAAGTATGTCCACTTATCCAGAGATTACGTTTCTATCCGATGTAATTCGAGTCGGACGATTTTAAAGAACTTCTCTCCACAATCGTTATCGAATAGAGTCGAATGGATCGAGGGTCACGTCGCTCCGTGACCGACCGTTCCGAATTAATGAAACGCAGCAGCCAAGACAGCCGAGGCGGATCGGAAAATGGGAAAGCCAGTCGGTTTAAGGAACTGCGATGAATTTACAGTGACTTTGTTCTTTTCAGCTTCCTTGCGCCCTAGTTTGATGAATTTTCAACTAACGAGTGTTGCCGGCGACGCTTCGGAGAATGTTTGTTTCTTTTCGTTCTAATTAATCCTTTCGACACGGAAATCGAACTGACTGGTCTACG